ATGAATTCACAGTGTTCTGTTCGTAACAGTCGATTGATTCAGTCACTGCTCTACTAATCAGTGTGTATCGCGAAATCCCTTTGAGTTATCCCCATTGTGATGTTGCTCAAAGATCCTTATATTGTCCAGAGTTATCCCTATGCACCCTTATTCATTTATAAATCCACTTGCATCAAAGCTGCAGTCCCATACAAGATATTTGCTCTTCGTGATCTTCTACTTGCTCCTTTTCTGATGATGAATGCACTCTGATTCTGATTTTGAATGCCTTCAGCATTTGATTGATTGAGAATGAATCAAGTGTGGAGTATTTGTTGACTAATTCAAGTGTTTTCGATCGAATTTCAAATATTGCTCCAGATTTATTGTTTGTTGTTTTTACAAGAGAATTCTTCCTCTAAATTCTTCAATTCAAATAATGTTGCCTCAAAGACCAAAGAAACTGCTCTGTAGGCGTTGTTTAAGATTACAGATTGGCGCAACTCGCGAAGGCTTGAAATTGAAAGTCGAGTAAGTGAAATTGCTGATAAACTACTGATAATACTCGTAATCGCGATAACAACAATACCTTATCAGCTTATTATCAATTGCTTCAGTAATCAGAACTGCTTCTCTGTCTCTTCTTTGCCTTACTTTCTCAAATTACCTCTGAATAATATTTGAACAACAGTCAACAATGGCTGTTGTTGTAGGTTTTGAGTTTTCTTTTTTCCCTGAGTTTTCTTTCTTTCCCCATCGAAATTTTATGAATCGACTTATTTCCCATGCGCCAATTATATGATAATTGCCTTCAGATGCATTTGGATCTCTGTAATTATTATTATTGTTATCGTTACCCTTTCATCTTACCGCAATTTCCCTAGTCGAAGTTCATGCTACCGCAACATCATCAGTGCTTGGGGTGCTTGAAACGGGTATTTTCCTCTTTACACGGTGATTCCTTCCTATTTTGCCCGAATAATCCCGTGCTATTTCTATTGCTATTGCTTACAACCGTCAACCTTTTTCCATTGCAAATTCTTCGTAATTTTTGGTCATTTAATTAATCATTTCAAGGTTTCATTGATTAACGAAAATTTTTCAAAGAAATGTTTCTTATGTTTGTTTTTGAAATCAGTCGATTCATTATACATTTTATTTTGCGCAATCGCTTTCGATCTATTCGACTCACAAAGTGGTTTGTGTAATATTGGAGCTTGTTTAATAATTCCTTTCATTAACTTTCATGATGCAGTGGACCGTGGAAATTTTTGTGATGAGTTTGAGAGTTTTCTTTTTTGGAAATAAGAAAATAAATTTGTGTGTGTAATTTTCAGGTGATTCAATCGCTGAATAACGCATTGAATGGTAAAGGACATCGCTTTTCACATATTCATCTGCAAACTCCTTCCAAATGTGCACATTGTACCTCAATTCTTGTTGGTCTCGACCGACAAGGTGATTTGTTTATTCGAGACGTCTCTTATCATTTCACTATGCAATTATATCTCCATTGCAATGAACTCCTTTTTTTGTTAAATTGCTCGGTGTTTCTGTCCAATTGATGAAAATCTCATCAGTGAAACGGGCGATGATCAATCAGAGACAACGATTCATTGCGTTTCAATTTCAGGTTTATTTTGTCAAGATTGTCAGTATGCATGTCATGTAAATTGTGCACCAAAAGTACCACCTATATGCCCAGTCCCTCCAGAGGCACGACGTCCACTTGGCATTGACCCTCAAAAAGGCGTTGGCACTGCTTATGAAGGTATATTGCTGTTATCAGTTATGATTATAATTAATATGTTCGGTGAGTTCAGGCTTGGTAAAAACACCGAAGCCAGCGGGTGTAAAGCGTGGTTGGCAGTCCACTTATGTGGTGGTGTGTGACTTTAAACTATACATTTATGATTGTAACGTTGACAAACATGGAAAAGCGATCGATATACATCCGGTTATACGACAGGTTACTATTATATTTTATTTACTGCTGGTAGATTGTTAGTATAGTTGTGATTGTTGAGGTGTTGGACATGCGCGATACGGACTTTCAAGTGACCGGTGTAACAGAGGCGGACGTCATACATGCGTCGAAATCGGATTTACCGAAAATATTCCGCATAACAACGAGCCAGATTCATGGAACGTTGCCGAGCTCTTCATCTGGCGTAAACACCACCGGTTCGACGTCTAGCAACGGAAGTGCTTCTTCAGAAGGTCCAGTCGCTAGACAATATACACTGCTGATGGCTGACAACAATGAGGTTTGTTTAGTGGTGTTTGTTCTTACAGATGTGATGGAGTTCTATTGATTTCAGGAGAAGACCAAATGGGTGATTGCACTGAACGAGTTGAAAAGTCTTCTACGCAAATCGAAACTGCCTGATAAGAGCGCTTTCATGGTTAAGGTAATGAGATTAATCGAGGTTGAATGGGAAGGGTCACATCAAACGTGCATATATTTAAGGAAGTATTCGATTCAATAACGTTACGTGAGCTTCGAAATGCACAGTGTGCGACCATTATCGATAAGAACAAGGTGGTGATGGGATTCGCCGAACACGGTCTATATTGCATTGATCTCGATCGTGAGGTGGGCATTTTTTATTTCGTTCGCTTGTTGATGTGTGTATATTTCGTATATTTTACAGAGTTTAGCACCGGTGGGCGGTGAAAAAGAGTGCAGCAAGCGATCAGTGGAACGTATCGACTATAATGCCGAAGAACAGGTAATTTGATCGGGATGAGTTATCACATGAGCTGATATACTTTTACTAATTGCAGTTGCTCATGGCTATGTTGGGACCGCAAAAAGATCGTCACGTACGGCTAATCCCAACGGCAGCGTTGGATGGACGTGATTTGAAGTGGATAAAAGTGGCCGAAACAAAAGGATGTCATGCGATGACAATGGGCGCTGGGAACGGCTCGGATCACGTCCACTATTTCTGTGTGGCTGTCAAAAAGACTGTGCTTGTCTATCAGATAGATCGCAGTGAGAAACGGCATCGCAAACTGCGAGATCTGGCCATGCCAGGCCAACCACAGACAATGACGATCATTCGTGGAAAACTCTGTGTTGGATATCCATCAGGCTTTCGAATGTGGGACTTGATTGATAATTCTACGATCGGTACGTGTAGATATCGAGTTTAGTGTGCACGCTTAAAGTAGTTGATTTGAATGGCAGCAGTGATGGTAGTAATTAATGGCAACTTTCAGCATTGGTCAATTTCGAGGACGCTTCTTTACAGTTCTTAAGTCAAACTCTGTATGATGCTCAGTTGATAGTCAATGTGAGTGGCTATGAACAGAAAGAGTTCTTGTTGGTATTCTCGCGATTGGGGGTCTATGTGGATGCGCAAGGTATTGTTGATGCATTCACGCTCTTGGTTGAAGACGAATCAGAGCATTTCATTGTGAATTCAGGTCGTCGATGTCGGTCTCAAGAGTTGATGTTTCCGTCGGAACCATCGCCAGGCGGTTTCGTTTGTATAATGCCACATCTGTGCGTTTATTCGGAATATCAAATTGATGTGTTCAACGTGAACAGTGCTGAATGGGTGCAGACTATCAATCTGAAAAAGGTTTGTTATTGGATGTTATTTGAAAGCAGATGTTTGTGATAATTTTGCTGATATTATTATTTAGGCTTTCCCCCTCACACGAGATGGTCTGCTAACAATGTGCATAGTGAACGATTTGCCGTACGTAGTGCTTCTGTCGGATATTCTTTCTGGTAGGTTTCAGTGAGTGGATTGTTGAAACGCGATATTTTGGAACTGGAGGATTTGATGACTGCAAATGATGTTGATTCAGATGAAGATGCGCTGAACATACCCGTTTGGACACCGACAAATGTGGCACATAACACGTCGTCGTCAATTTCAATCAGCAAAGGAGCAGCGGGCATGATCAGTGGTGGACCAGGGGGACCGCGACGCCGAAGAAAATTCTCAATTCGAACACCGCGAGACGATGATAAGCATTCACGGTTTGTTACCTATTTATTAGTGCTATGTCATCAGCACCAGTCACTCGCAACTAAATGCTCAAAATCAAATTTCAAGACCCGGTGAACGTCGAAGTCAACTGCCAATCAGTGGACCGTCAGATTTTGTGCATATCGTACATATGGGTCCTGGAGCGGGACTGGAACTGCAGAATTTGATCGATTTGAAAAACTCGTCGTCTTCGTCGTCGGCCGCACACAATAATAGTAGTGTTTCGATTGGGAGTGGTGCGGTCGATAAGGTTCGGAATGAAATATATAGTTGTGGTGGTGATATTGCAATATCAGTGTGGTAGTGATCAATAAGAGAATAAGAAAATTTGAGGTGCGTCAATATATAAATCCAATAATGCGATCGACGAGTTCCACAAGCGCGAGTGTGCACGGTGTGCATGCGTTCAGCACGACGAATCGACGCGAGATCGATCTGATGCAGTCGAAAACAACTAGACCGTTGAGTTCACACAGCAAAAGCTCGGATGGTGAGTTGTTCTGATAGATTATTGATTGATTGATGATGATGATCGAGATCAGTGTTTGATCGTTATTTCGTTTTGAATAAACACCGAGTGTAATTGTAAAGGTTTCAGCGTAATGATAATTTAGAGAAGTTTGTAAAAAAGATGTCCACTTGAGACATTTTACGAGAAAATTTGCCAGAGCAATCACAAGCAGTTAATTTTTATTGTAGTGATACGATGTAGTTATGAATAAGAAGTATTAAAGTTAATATTGATGCATGTTCTTCATATTGTGATTGTGTACAGTGTGCTGTGGTGCAGTTGTAATTGACCTCATTAAAATGTTCTTTTTTTGCTGACTGAACGAATTTTTTCACATATTTTTTTCAAACTGTTCATAACGCAGTGGATATGATTTGAACGAGTTGAATAGAGTTTATTGATCGCATGTCGTTGTTTCGTGATGATATGATAGTGGTGAAGAGCACGAATGAAAGTGGATCGTCAGTGTTTTAGAAGTGAAAGTTTAGAAAACGATTCATCTTTCATTTGCTGCATTCAACATGTACCATTTCTGAGAGTTCATGGAGACTCGTTCTGGTCATTTGGTGGTTATTGCGATATAATCATTATTCTACTAATAGCTGATGTTATTTTTGACAGTAATGATAACCATAACGTGTGTAGTAATAATCTGATTTCGTCATTTTTATATGTTGACGTTTATGACTTGAAATAACGAGGCGAATGCATGTCTCTGAATTACCGAACAACGCCAAGAAAGAAAAAAGCAATTGCCAAAACCTCATTGAAGGTTCATCATTAGGACGTGATCAGACGCCGGCAACTGCTCTCAGCGCTGCACCTACCACCACTGCTGCAACACCATCGTCTTCTAATCTTAGTGAAAACACTAATCAAACAACGGTACGTCGTCGGTTTTTGCATGTCAAATAGGCATTATTCTTTCAACTCGCTTCTAGATCGTTTGCATGAGTTGCAAACACCTCATGTCAGCAAAGAATTTCATATGAAATGTGATTTTTTGATTGATTGCTTGCATAAGGGCGCATTAATATCGCTTGCTGTATTGCTCATTACTTCGCTTTGTTATAATACAGTTTCGTGTGGAATTGTGTGCTATGCAGTGGTTTTGTTTCCCTTTGTGTCATTCGTTACTATGACAGAAAACTTCTTATGGGTCATAAGAAAAGTGCCTTATATTTTTTGTGACATAACAATAGCGATAATAATAATTTTGTGAATGTCGATGACTCGTCTACACTTAGTTTCAGTATATGGATAGGTGTTTTTTAAACGTGCTTAAAGTTCATGAATTGATGTCGCTTGTCATGTTTTTTAAATGTAAATTTGTTGGTCGTTCTGTTCGCTCGCTACTGCTTTCACCGAGTGCTTGTAAACCTTGAGATTGAAAATGTAATTTAGTTTAATTGAAGTGGAAAAAGAATTGACAAAATACTGCAAAGAAATTCGATTGCATTGTTTTAGAAACTTTTTTTTTGATTTTTTAAAATTTTTCATGAAAACAATCAACTCTTTGTTCACTCAGCTCGGCTGCAGCTCAATTTCATTCAGTAGTGCCTTTTTCGGTCAACTGGAATTTGATCAGTTCAATTTTAGGAGGGGAAGGCAGCACTGCCGCAGCCACAGTCAGTGTCAGTAGCGTGCTCGGGGCCCGGAAGAAGTGCTCAGCAGAGGGGGTCAGTGGCGATCTCCGAAGTACCTCCACCGCTTCCACAACATCGACATCAATCACCACAGGTCCTATCGAGTTGCTACCCTTCTCTCTCTCAAAAAAGAAGGATTTCTGCAGTTCGGCAAAAGAATGAATTGTTCGCAGTCTATCAACCAACGTGATCACGTTTGCATCTTGTGCCAATGTTCACTGAATTTCTGCCTGATTATTCATCGCTTTCAGATGCCATCAAAGAGGCGTAGCAATCATATGGCGACTGGAACAGCTTTTGGAGGAACTTCTGCAGGAAATTAAGAAACAGCACAACGAGATAACGAGGTGTTATGCGAAACGAAAGGGAAGGAGGTTCGACATTCTAGTCATCAACAGACGTTTAATCCAATGATAAAGAGTATCAGTAACTTGACGGTTACTTTTGTTATGAATATTGTTATGCTTTAATGCTAATTATTGTTATCATTCATTATTACAGTCGTATGTTGATAAGTGTGAGTATTGTCATTGCGAGTGTTCATTGATGATAATAGGATATTCGCTTGAAACCAATTCAATTATTCCGGTATTATTCAAGGTGTTTCGCTTCGTTATGGACTGTGTCACGTATGGTTTTGATTTGTTGGTTTATTGCTTGTTGATTGTTTATATTGAAATTGTTGTTATCATTACAAGTAGCGTCGTTCATTACAAGTATTCAGCAAGACGAACTTATCGCCATCTGAGCATCCTTCCTTCCTTCTTATTTGTTTATTGAATCGTTCATTTGATCTTCAGAATATTTCCTATCGACACCTATTTTATATCGACTTTTGCGTATACATAGAATCGTGCATAAGTGATTTTGTAGATATGAAATATTATTATTATTATTATTACTATTATTATTGTTGTTATTTCGTTTATTGCGTTTTCGATTGTTGTTCATCCGTTCTACTTCGTGATAATTTTATGAGCGCGCGCGTTATGAGTGTTGTTATCACTGTGGTTTATCAAAATTTTCAGTTTTAAAACAACATTTCCATGAAATTATGTTCGTATTTGTTTGGTTTGATCTGGTTCTCTTCGTTTTTACCATAAATATTCGAATTTTCTTAATCACTTCTTGTTTTTGCACTCATTGCAGAAAATACTCACAATTTGATTACTTTCTCTGATATTATCGTCTGATAAATCTCATTCGAAAATCTCGTTTTTGTTGCTGTGCTCAATGTACAGAGAGCATGTGCACGTTTTATTAATCGCTTCGTTTCAGAATCCTTCTGCAGTTTTGTTCACCTTTGGAAATTTTTGATCTAAAAAAGCGCCAAAATTTTCATTGAAATATTGAAAAAAAACGAGAGCCATTGAAATATTCCCGCTTTTCTGCCTGCCATGCACTCTCGCCTCATCTATAAATTCGGGAGTCGATGAAGAGTTGTCTCATTGTTAAGTGTTGTGGTCGTCGAGAGTGTTAAGTGTTGTGATATGTCACACTCAACGGTTTTTATCATCACAAACCTCTGCGGAATATCTTAATTTATAATTCTTCTCAACTATTATTTTATTCATCTGTTCATTTACAGATGAGTAGAATGAACTTATTTTCCAACTATCCAAGTATTTGAGTGCATCTTTATGGTATCACCAAATGGTACTGAATACGTTTTCAAAATAATTCTACACAAGTGGTTTCGTGTTTGCAATTTGTTCAATGGTCGTCAGTACGGCGGGTGTTTCTCGACGGAATCGTTTTATTTGAACACAAATGCAGTTATGCGTTATGATGACGGAATACCGATGTCGTTCTGCGATGTTTATCACAAGTTTAATCAATGTAGCGAGTCGCGAATTATATTATTTACTGAGCAATATTGAAGAAATATTCTTCATAGAGTATTTCTTCTCAGAACGCTGCGACGCAATGTGACTCTGACGATGTGGTACTGTCATCGTCAGAGTCACATTACATCGCAGCGTTGTGATAAGTGATAATCAGCAATTGATGATTATCACTTATCACAACGCTGTGACAGTTCCGAGTCGCAATTCAGAGACGTGCATCATTTTGTTACCAATCAGCCATTCGATTTCGTTGAAAGATGATGATTTTCGCGAACACGGCCGCCATTGTCTTTTTTCGTCATAATTTCCATCGTTATCGTTAATATCTTCATTACTGGATGTCTGCAATGCGATTTCATCCCATTCATTCATTTTCATATGAAACGAATTGCGTTATGGTAATGAAAATGATAATTATATGCGATGTGTTCAAGTGTATCATTTCGTTGACTGTTGTTTTGTTGGTTGTTCATTTGATGATATGTTGCTACCGAATGATTACTTCTGTTTGATTACATATAAATACCTATTTATCGAAAAATTCAACTGCACATACTTGGTTGTGGATTGCTATTATCATCATCGTTTGTGAGAATGCTTCTGTGTTGAGAAAGAGCTGACTGGAATGCATCAATGAATGTTTAATAAACTGCTAACTTTTTGACAGAGATTTTGATTTTGCACACAACTTTTTGCACACAGAGATTTGATGGTTCTGCACACTTATGTTCATATATGCTCACAGTGATGAGCATGACATCGCTTCCGCCATTGTTTCATCACATTACTTGGCTACACTAGCAGCATTCAAGGGATCGTGAGAGCTAGTCCGTATGAGTGCGAGGCAATGAGGGTATGCAGCAGGTTGGATGGACGAGCGATTGTTCGATAAATCCTTTTTTCGAAGAATCGCAATCGTTCACTTAGTTCGCAAGGCTTGCCCGCGAAAATTTGAAACTTTATTAACAACAATAAATGCGTGTTTTTGGTGAGCATGTGATAAAAGGTTGACACAAGAGTGTTAATTTGGGTGGTTTAGTAGTCAGTTATTTGTATTTTGAGGATCGAAAAATGCCAGTTTGTAATGGGAAGTTGTGGATTAAACGATCAAATGGATCAGGCAATTCAATGTACGTCATTAACTGGACGGGAGAATCGTTCAAAGATGAGGGGTAATTTCATTTATAATGGTGTTTATTTGTGTGCTGATGAATGAGTATTGTTTGAAAATGGAATGAATGATATCACTTATGAATGCAGTGATAATATGAATTAAGTGAAATGAAGAAACGCATCAAGGAATATAACGAAAAGAAATGGATGTGTCGACATATGGCACGAGATGTGAAGTTGTTTCCATTGAAAGAAGCGTTGCGTCTTGAGAGAAATGCTTTGGACGAGATCAGGAAAGGAATTCCTCGCGATTTATTGGTGGAAATTTGTAATATTGTTCATCATTGTTAGTTTTTTTATTGTTATCATCCTTTCATTATTAGTATTGTTGGTGCTGTTATTATTGTTATTATTACAGGTTTTTCAACTAAAGAAAGTTTGATAAAAAAGATCCGTTCAAGATTGGATGGGTATTTCTTCAAAGACGAATTAGTGTCATTTACGCATCTCGACAGGTTCCTTCTATTCTTTACTTTATTATAATACCTTTAAATTACGATTATTTAAGACTAGTGTACTCGTTTGGTAAATGGCGAGTGCAGTCGAATGGCCGCCCTATGGATTGTAAACTCATCGTGAACACCGTTATAAAATCGCTTTATTCAGGGAATATAAAGGAACAATCAGGAAACGCATCGATGCGGAAGAGGCGAATGTGAATAACGATCAAGAGAATGAGCCAAAATATGCGATCGAAATAAATGGCGACAGAAAAGTGATGATAAAAAACGTTGAATCTACGTCAATCAAGTTGGTTTCGTTTGACCGTTTGAACTAATTGATGGTATGAAAAAATAGTTGCAGACGTGAGTATGTGTTGAGTGATCAACAACTGGATGATCTCGTCTCGTTAATCTCCTTCAAAAAAGATGCTCATAATGCGCCTTGGATTGTTGATGATCAATTCAGAGAGTCGTTCAATATTCCCGATAAAATTCATTCGTTGTTCACTTCTTCCAAGGTAATTGACTGATTTATCAATTCTTTCACGTTATACTTCGTTTGTGCTCATCGTTTTCTGTTCTCGTATTATCTTCATTTCTTTCTTGTTCACAATAATAGCAAATATAAATTTTAGGTCGTTCACCCAACCGCTCAAATAAAACCTTGTACAAATGAAGCAGCATCACATTCTGGTTTTGGTGTTGATGTTGAAAATGTTGATGGTATTGTTCTAGTTGTATCATTGCTAAATGAATAATGTAACGAATTTGAATTATATTTAACTATAAACATGATTTTATATGCAATGCAAATTTGATGAAGCACAAGGGAAATAAGAATGAATTGAAGGAGTGAGAAGGAAGCGAGTAAAGCAACCAGATGAACAGAAGAGTGCTGCTGGTAAACCTAAGCGCAAGAAGAGTGTGAATGCTGACCGACGCTCGACGTCCAATAGCACACATCAGCAAGTAATTATTGCCAATGGTTGACTATTGCTGGCTGCTCACAGTCACATTTAAATGAAGCCAACATTCAGAGTCTAACCAACTTCCTGGTCACCACTTCATCGCCAGTTAAAACACCGGCATCGATCACTCAATCAGCAATCAATTCACGCAAAGTCGAAGCCACAATGCAGAAATTGCTGAACGCTCTGATCAACAACGACGTCAAATCGTTCACTACATGCACTCAGATCGCTGCTAAATCTCTTTCACTCAACTCGATACAATCCATTGATAACGACATCATTCGATTCGCCATCACCAAACAATTCCATTCTCTCGTTGATCACAACGCTATGTCAGTTATTCTTTACAATTAATAATAATAATAACATTACTGTTATTATTGTTAACAAAACATTTCAGGAAGAAAATGTCCAATAACGAAAAGAAACTATATAAAGAAAGGATGAGAAATGAACGCAAAGATGAACATAGCAAAATGGAGAAGAAATTACATTGGCTGTTGAATAAGGTTAGTAGAATAATGAATGTGTTTGTGTTGTAATGGCTTTATGTAATGGTGCAAATGAATGAAGTTTAGAAAATAGAAGACACGTTAATTGATCATAAGAGGTCATTACCGATATACGATCGTATTGAGTTGGCCACTGAACATAATCAACAACAGTTCATGGATTGCTTAGAGCTGTCTGAGTTCTTGAATTGCTTTAAAGTGATGCTCCGACCCGACTGTTTACCCTCTGCTGGTTGGTTATTCCTGCTTTCATCTTTATTTCATGAAGAATTCAGTGTATTCATTTATTCATTCAGTTCACTTTTATCATATCTTCTGTTTACTGTTGAATGGTTGATTGCAGATGATTTACTGAATGCTTTGTATAATGGTCGTGAAGGCTTTTTTGAAGTCATCGCACACATTTTAATTGCGTTTCTCAAACTGTTGTTCAACGATGAGACTGGAAGTGTGAGTTGGTTTGTGTTTGATGTGGAGTGGCAGATGCGTTTATTGAACGATGTGAATATTTTAGAGATATAAGGGTTGTGGTATGCGGTTGGGTGCGATTGCGGTGACTTTTGGTACGGTTTCTGAAATGACTCGATTGGTTTTAAATGGAAATGAGAATCGGATGCGTACTGAGGGAGAGCAGTCAGCATGTTCAGATCAGCAATCCTCGGTTGATAAATGAATTCATTATCGTGAATTGAATGAATGAGGCTTTGGTAAAGTACAGTTAATGATTCAGCAACAACACGAGCACATCTCAACGGTCGGTGATAAGTTAGGAGAGAAGGCGTTCTTCGAGTTGGATGCAGATGAGCAGTTAGACGTGTTGATGTTCCTCGAGAATCGCATACTCGAAACGAACACTCTAAATTCGTTTCTGTCTGAAACAGTCACTAATGAATTGGCAAAACTCGAGAATGATAAGCAGTCGGAAGGGCAAAAGGTTAATATTGTTTAGTATTGATAAAAGTCTTCGATATATTTGAATGATATTGTTCTTGTTAGATGGCGTGTTTGGAAGCGGAAACGAATGAGCTGAAAGTGAAACTGCAATCGAAAGATGACAATATGACGAGGCAACAGTCTTTGCTGCTAACCAAACTCGAGAAACAATACGATGAGAATGTGAAAAAGATGGAGCGTATCACAGAAAAGATTCAGTCGATCACTTCGAAAATACAGGTATTATTTTAGTTCAGTTATATCTCATCTATTGTTGACTCGTCATTCATTTAACTTGTTTGTTCAGCAATTGATGATCACTCGTGAAAATGCTCATCGTGTGAAAGAACTGGGTTCAGATCGATTTCACCAACACTATTGGTTCTATGAAGAATCTCCGAATTGTGGTATTTTTATTGAGGTATGTATGTGTTGATTGCCTATAAATGTTCAAATTGATATTATTGTCAGAGGTTTTAATCAGTATTTTACAGGGCAATGCCGCTGATGTTTCTGTCGTAGCCACGGCAGATAGTAATAGTCAACAGAATGATACGACAACACCCAAAAAAACTCGTAAAAGGGCGAAAATAAAAACGATCGATGCGTTTATAAATCATCAGCTGACGTATCTTCTTTTTCAGTTACCATCATTCGAGCATTTCATTTATCATTGCACTCGTATCATTCACAACGATTACAGATACGATGATGAAGCCGTGCAAAAGGAGTGGTTCTTGATTAGAGATGAGAACGGTTTGAAGCAGTTGATGCAGTCGTTGTCCCGCAATGGATATCGAGAGTCGAACCTCTATTCGAATATTCAATCCAAATACGACCAGATTCTATCTTCATTCACACGTCTTCTAAAGTATGTGGTTTTTAAATGTGCATTTAATGTAGCACAATCATCAAATTGAAGGACGAAGAAGAGTGGTGAGTGTGAGCAGATGAATGAACAAGAGCTGATATGCGACGAAATAAAGACGTTCTATGATCAGTTGTGCAAGAGCAGTTTATCAACTAATTGTGATGAGGCTCACTCGAGTGATATGCAGTCGATAAGAGACTGGTTACTGCGAATCGAAGACTCGTTGTGCACACGAGCGTTCGTGTCGTTCGATCGTTCTCAGTGGAGAATACACGTTCACAATGCGAAATGCGTGTCTAGACTGCATCTCCTCTTCTATATTCTCGAAAAGAACATCAACTGGTCTCAATCTATCGAATACAAGGTCGTTCTAGCAGTGCCATCCTCAATCTCGAATCATCTAATCGATAATTGATAATCATCTCAATTGCAGAAGTGTTCATCGTGTAATCGTCAACGGAACAGAGATGATCTCATCATATGTAAACAATGCTCACAAGCTATTCATATGCATTGTATTCGACCAGTGATCACAACTAAACCTCCAGATGGACAGTTTGTATGCCAAAGCTGCAATCAAGTTACTATTACACTGATATTGTTATACTTATGAATATTTTCAGAGATGATATGAAATTGTGAATTTATTTAAGAGTAATAAAGCTGAAGAGGAATCTGAGGTTGAGAGTGATGGGGTTGAGGGTGAGGATGAGGATGAAGCAACTTTCGATCAGCCGGAATCGAGTGACACTGAGTATTTGTCGGAGAGTGATTATGAACGACCTTCGAAAAAGGTTTGTTAATTGCTGATTGTGAGCAGTTATTTATTTGTATGTTGAATATCGTTTGTTGATAATTTGAAATAAGATCACACTTTTTCATTTATTGATAGATTACGACTGATTTCAGAAGAAGAAGAAACGAGGCAAAGTTGCATTTGCAAGGAACAGAACTGAGTATAAGTACTTCGACACTTACACAATGGTCAGTGCCGACAGACGATCTGTTCGTGTCGGTCCAGAACAACCCAGAACATCTTTGCAACATGTATCTATTTCACCTTATTCCCGTTCGAACTTAAAAAGTGGATCAGTACAAACAAATTAAAATTCTCATTTGATGCAATTTATATTCAAATGAAACATTTTATTTATTTTTTCAAGGAACTCGAAGAAGTGTTTTCAAAATTGGAGAATGATATTCGAATTTACAACGCACTGATAACTGTACCGGCTGCGGGACGATCTAAAGATATCACGTTGGAGAACATCAAAAAACAACTTTATTCAGTTCGTTTTTCATCTTTGCCACATTTCGTTGTTCAAACCAAAAATATAAATGTTTTAAATACGATTATGATTTTTATGTTCACTTAACCAATTACTAATTGTTCCTTCAGTACTCATCGATAGACGACTTCAACAAAGATTTACGTGTTTTCCTCAACGCAGCATTGCAGTATTACCACGTAATTGCTTTCATTTCTTCTATTTATATTCGATTGTGTCATTTTTTGATTATTATCACGAATAATCTTAATAAACTTATCATTTTGAGGATAATGAACGAAAGGTGAATCAGTTGAATGAACTCAAATCGGAATTGCATTTGTAACAATAATAATATGATCAGTATCGTCCTCTTTGCATCGATGATCTTCGTACACTTCGCGTCTTTATTATTTCACCGTCAACTTCATCAATTTATCTGTTTTATTGTGCCGATGGAAAGAAAATTGTTTGATTCAACAAACGAGTGATCGATTTGTTGTGATCGACTTTTCTGAATGTAACAGTGAATGATTTTCGAGTAACGTCCATCAGTGCCTATCGAATACCTCTCTTTCGAATATGTAAAGTTTTTAATTTCTTGTGCTTTTTATTGCAAATAAATGTTTCTTTTGCTTGATGTGCTCATCATTTTACTGTTAGTGTCCTTATAAGTAGACAATGGGCTGGAACTAAAGGCAGGGAGAGAGCAGCTGGCGGCATCGATTGAAAAGAGGAGAGTAGCAAACGTGGACGAATTCGATTGCGATCGAGGGACAGAGCAGAGCATCTGAACGATTGGTGCAATTGCAGTATCGTAAAACATTTTAGATGTACCAAACCAAATTTTACGTATTGTGCTAAGCCGAGGGAAACTCTCGTAACTGGACACTTCCGGTCGAAGTTNAAGTTACTCAATGTCGACTACAAGGCGGAATTTTATCTTGGAAGGTAACAATTTTATCTGCAATTATTTCTTGAACGTTTGCATTTCAGCTTGTTCTCGAGTAGGTGTTTAGTGCTGTTCAATCCATTTTATTCTCGTGCACTGCGCTACAAAACGACATGCAAATTTTACGGATCTATTACCCATTTAATGGGCCATTTCCGAACACCTACCATATAAAAAAGCGGGTTCCGTCACTTGGTGAGCCATCAGCTTACGCTTGAGATCAACGAGCGACTTTTCGCACAATGCGCTATCCTGAGCGAATTTCGCAGAGAACGGGTGAGCCTCGGAGGCGGATAAATTTTACAAAATTACGCAAAATCAAAATGAATCTGTAAACTTCACTCGGAAAATCGCAACTCACCCAGCAAATCTGTAAAATTCACCGGAAACAAAATCACCCGTTCTCGCTGAGTTGCTACTAGCTAATTTCGTTGTGCCACTATCTAAATTCGCCGAGTTGCCATCCGTTCCCCTGTAAAGCCCACCCCACCCGTCTGTAGAAAATGGATGTTGTACCATGATTTATTCTGCCGAATCTGCACCCAATTCAGTTTCTGTTTATAAATCGAAGTCGTAATCATAAACCATTCGATTCACACGTTTATTTCAGTTATTACTTATTGAATGCTAATCGAATTATAGCGAATTGAATAGCACAGCTCTGTTTTAAAGGTCGGAGTCAATGCAGAAGATCAGCCGTTTAAACCGTCTCAAAATATATTTTCAAATGTGCTCATCGAACACTAATAGTGTGCTGGTGGCATCGAATTTAAATTGTGAATCGAGATGTTGTTACAGCACTCATAAAGCTCATCCCCGCAGACTATTCGACTATGTGTTTGAGGTAAGAAATGACACTGAATTTGATGAAATGAAATGCAACCAGTTTCAAGTCTGCACTCAGGTCACTGACTATGAGTTCAGAACGAAAACGAGAAGTTCACGGAGAAGAGTGCACAACGAGCGCACCACTTCGATGGACTGAGTCAGTCGAGCTGGTTACTGATCTATCGCGACGTGAATGCATCACGTTCCTATGCACTGTGCGCGCTACTGATTCCACTCTCGTGTATGGTCACCTCTTTACTCATTATCGACTTCTTCTATCATTCTCATAACCACCAACAACGTAGCCGTCTTCTTCAACGAATTTGCCACGATGCTAATGAGGTTTGCATTATTTTTTTAACTTTTTAATTTGTGTACGAACGTCGAACAGTAATCATTCATAAACAAGTTTTAGTTGGGAATACTGCTTATAATTCCATTACTGAGCATCATTCAAGTGGTGTTATTACTGCTGCGATTGCAATATATGCGTTTGTTCCGGATTTATCAAAATAAACAACACCCAAGTGAATTCACTGCTGTGTTGTCACGCGGTTGTTTGTTACAGAAGAAGGTTACTATTTATTATTACTTCAAAACAAAGACAATTAAGAGAGGTAATGAATAAGGTGCTGCAGATGAAATTCGATAGAAACTCGGTGAAATTGGTTTTGGAAAATACAAAGATGGATGATACAAGTAACATGATGAAACAATTATTTTACACTGCAGTCAAAGGAACAATACGATTCAAGAACAGATCTCTGATTCACGACGATGCACATTTCCGTGCCAATAATTATCGTTCGTTCATGCTCAACCAAACGCATTCTATCCCTAAGTTCGATTGATTCTTCATTACTTGTTCACTTTCTTAAAATCACTCGCATATCCATAACGATCATCACTCGAACGTGAATATTGTTGCAGTTGGAGTAGTGCTCTTAAAAGAGAGATAGCTTCATTAGTGTATGTGCTCATTGATATTGTGCTTGATGGCAATTATTGATGAAAGAATATAAATAAATTGATATTGGACGTTACGTTGGATATTGAATGTAATTAGATGATGGATTGTTATCGAGGCTGGGTGTTGATCGATCGGCATTATTGAACGTAGCAGGTAAAGCAACATTATGTAGTAGACGGGGTGGCGTTAGTAATGACGCATCCTGATAGGGATGATAACGGCGATCTTTTACAAACAGTATATTACGATCATCTCTATCCTGTGTTGAGGTGTTCGGTAGAGCCGATTTATTGGTGGAAGTAGTAGCGTAGTTAGTAGTTGTATCTGAGACATTGGCGATCTGAATTTGTTTTTATTACACTGAGGTGAGTGTGATTTTAGTGAGTGGAAGGATTAGAGAAGTGAATAACATTTTGATGGAGGTGACGATTGAAGTAATTGAATTGCGGTAGAATATTTCGATAATCGACATCGGTGTTGCGAGTCTGAAATTGGTTTCGATTTAATAGTGTACAATGCTCTCTTCATTTGAACAGTTAGTCGATTGATCAAGTTAGTTGTTTATTTGAATATATTACCATTTCGTTGAGTTTTTTGATAGCATCATTGGACAGTTGAAATGAAGTATTGTTGGTAGTTGATGGTGATGCGGATGAATGAGAAGGAGGCACTTTGGCAAGCAGCGATACTTGTGGTGCCTGCAAATATTGATTATTAATGTTGATAAAAAACCGGTATGGATAAAAAAGAACCTGATATGTGTTTGATGAGGATGATGCTGTCGGTATGGTGGAAGGCTGCTTGGATTGGGAGTTGGGTGAATTTGAATAGTCGCTTATCGGTGACTTTCTGGCCGATGTAACCGCTTTGGCTGTATAAATATTTGTGGCTGCATTGATGGTGGTGCTGTAAGTATTGCTGGTGTCACTGTGATGTGATCGAATTGTTTTGAGTTGTATTGTTCCGTGAATGATATTAAACAAACCTGGGGGCAGTTGATACAGGTGTATAATCGAGTGCTGGTGCAACAACTCGATTTGCAGCATCCTTTGATGTAGATGCTGCAGTCGATAGTGCTGCACCTTGCGCTGCATCATTATTACCGTCAGCATCATCACTTTCATCTTCGATATCCATATCGGGTGATGCTGTAACCACTGCTATCACTATAACTGTCATAATGAAAGAGTGTTCGTAAAATCAACAAAAATAAATGCGTACATAGATTTGGTGGTGTTGCATCGGGGTGTTTTAAAAGAGAATTCATCTCTGAGCATTTTGTTGAATGGTTGTCATCACTGTCGGTATTGGACGTATCACAGAGTTGTTCGATTACATCCTTGACATCTTCACTTTGAGCGTTTATTCGTTCGGTGACATTGGGCAGACGGTTGAATTCGTTTCTGAACGAGAACGGTCAAAGGGTGCAAAGCCTAAGCGAATGAACAAGCAAGCAATCAACTCACAAATCCTCCGCACTGAACACCTCGAACGAACCGTACAATAACGAGTCGAAGCACGTCTTCGAGAAGTGCAAACAATGAAAAAATTGTCCATCCTTACAGTGCAAACTCAGCAAAGAGCTGAATTCACTGTTCGGTATCAGAACCATTGTGGAGCCATTCGACAAAACACTTATTGCGGCCTTCAAATGACCACTATTATTATCAGTTTCTTGTCATTATCAGTAATAACTTACAACATTCCCAACTCGCATACACTCGTGCATATCACCCAACTCTGAATGTGAATCATCCTGTTGTGATCTTAATATGAAATAAGTGGCCAATCGTTTCACGGAGGGTAGTGACATCTGCAATTCAACTGCATTATTCATATTTGGACTTATTAAAATGAACATATCTGGACTTATTAATATGAACATATTTGGACTTATTAAAATGAACATATTTGGACTTTAAACAAATAATAATTGTAATCAACCTCTTTTTTAATACACAATTTGCCAACAACTTGATGTGAAAGTAAATCCGTAATCGGTGGATATTCTAAACATGACTTCCAGTTCACAAGTTTTGTTATCTCGAAAACACGTTCTCTAAATGATCGATATTATTATTAAGATAAAATATATTGCATCAAATGGACTGTAATTAAAAAATGGTATAAAAAAGGACTTAATAATGATAAACAAAACTAACAAAAAGGGTGGTTTGATAAAAACAGAACCGATCGATTGCAAAATAACGTTTTGAAAGCATTTATCAGCGATCTTCAACGTGCCGTTCCATACTGTTATTGGCATATATTTGAATGCTGCTGTTCTTCAATTTATTTCTATTTTTACTAATCAATTGAGTGATCATCACGTTCACTACAAAAATCATAAAAATACTAACACATTCGGTGGAAATTCAACAAAGAAAAGCGCGAATGGAAGAATATTTGAAGGTACACTTGCATATTGGCCAATGTCACATTCTTCGTATAAATACACCTATAATGATGCGATTAATTTGGACAGTAATAATGAACTAACTATGTGGTAATAACCAACCTGATCATATCTGAACAGTTCGTGTCTGTTCAGTTGATCGCAACCAACTGATGCTCTTGCAATATGCGATGAATATCCACTGCTCGGTGGTAATTTGAACGAACTCAAACCAACAACATTACTGCGACCTTTCAACACCTGTATCAATAGCATTCATAATTATTGTACAAATGAATACACAACTACCTTAAAAGCCATGATTCGAATACGCGTTTTCTCGTAGAATTGACATGGTGTCACTAAATCTGGACTTTCGTTCAAATGTACACCTGTAAATAACTATTACAATGTTTTTAACTATAATTTTTTAAACTGTAATTTAATATAATAATTTTACAATGTTTACCAATAATTTTTTAACCGTAATCCAATAAACAAAATTTGAGCACGTATTTTTACAAAATAAGAAATAAAATTTACGCTCGGCGAATGGCAATAAATAAATTCAAATGAGTATTACCCTTGAGTGAATCGCCGAGATCACCAATGAATGAATTACCCGTACGAAGTCCATATTTCGCAATTGATTCGATCTCAAAGAAATGTACAAAATTCAATCAGCAATGCGCAATTGTTGTTGTATGAAATGAATCAAGTTAATAAATAACCTCTTTATTCGGGCCAACAATGCGAACAAAACAATAGGATACATCAGAAGGTTGGCCTTGTTGCTCGAGTTGTTTCTGATATGATTTGAACTGAAATTCAATTGGTTTTGTTTATATACAACAATACGAATGCAATCTGGACTTTCGTTCAAATGTACACTTATAAATGACTATTTTAATGTTTTAACTATAATTTTTTAAAACTGTAATTATAACCTTCTCCTGAATTGAGACATTATGAATTGATTGACATCGTGAAATTTTTATATTTCGATCCTTCTGATGAATTGAAAGATTTTTGAAGAATACTGCAGAATAAACTGATTTAAATTCATCTGATGATACTGGGACATCCTCGAGTGAATATGCTTTGCTCCTCACTCCTTAAATTCAGTGTTATTATTATCGTTAAGAGATGTTAAATAAGTAACACAACCTTTTCTTTGGGCTTTTGCACCTCTTCTGGGTATGGTGAACTCCTTAACAGCCAGGTGTTCAGAGGTCATCTAAAAATCAATAAACCATGGAAGTCGGTTACAAGGAATGACGAAGTAATTACGAATTAATGCACAGCTTTGAGAATGTGTTCGATTCGTTTATTATTACTGTTGTCTACTTGAATATATGCGTGAATGCGACTTGTCGTGTTCAATACGTGAGTATGCTTAATGCGCAAGCTTATTGTTGCTATTCACGATAACAATTCTCATGATTAACATCAAGTTGGCTGACACATAGATATCTCGCCAAGGCGCATACTTAATTCTATATACTAGTGTCACGTCTACTATTTTGCTGAGTTTAAGTGAACGGAAGGAACTGTGTTCTTTGATTTCGTTGTTAATATTGCATCGGCAATTAATTAGTTAACACTTGTTCACTGCAGCGGTCTATATAGTTCGTTTCGAGCAATGCGAACGTGTGTGTGTTCACCATTTTACAACACGCGTTATGTGATTTGTGAGGATTCAAACTGAGTGAGTTAACGTTTTACGAAAAAATGTTAACTTAACTCGAAATATTATTCATGGTTCACTGGAATGAGTTGAGGTGACCGTGGCAGAAAGTTCCCGGACAGATCTAGCCGAGAGTTCTCGGGTAGGTGTGCCCGAAAGTTCTCGATCATACTTGATCTTCCTTTTAATTTGGGGACTTTCGGAGCATTTTTGTTGGGCTAGATCACGAGGTAAACCTCACGCTAAGATTCGTGGTGAACCGCAGCAGAATGTAGAGTAAGGCTGTGCTTGATGCTGGTGAAAAAGCCGCGCTCTACAATTGAACACGTTAACCACAAGATTACCACCTTATGATGTGAAGAAACTGATTGCCGAATGTCAGGATTTATTAGACGGAATAATATTAGATTGAGGACTCATTCCGAAGTGTGTCACATCATTAAATCTCCACTTGAGCGAGTCTGATAGTGTGCCTTTAACGGAAAATGAAAGTGGTTCTTTTTTGCAGGCCCATCGGTGATTTGTTCGATTTGCGATTGCATCGCTATGGGGTCAATTGACTAGCATTGAGTTTAAATTGTGTTATGGATGAACGTAAGTGATATTTTTATTTGCCAAGAAAATGAAAGTAAAAAAGGTAAGCAACAAACAACATGAAGTATGATTGATATGTGTACTTCTTATAAGCAAGTCAAATAATGTGCGTTGAAATGAACGGAAATATCCGAGTGAATAAACAGAAGATGCGCACAGAATTAAGATAATCGGTTTGAGGATGCATAACACAGCGATAAGGGTATTTCACAAAAAAAGGATATTATCAGTACAGAAAGCAGTGATTAACAGATGTGATCACCTTGTATAATCACGAACACAAACATAAATAAACGTTGACCAATCAAATAAATATGAAATATACCCGAATACGGATCAATTAACTGATTATTGATATAGATGTATGTGGTCCGATCAAATCAGCTACTCATTTTATTCAGTTAATATCAATGAAATATGATCAGAGATCATTACTTATTTGAATGAAATTTCGAAATACTTGTAGAAGGTGATTTTAATTATTAGACGAATAAGAAATTGATTTGATGCAAGTAGTTATTCAGCTGAGGTTAATGAGTTGAGTGGAGTTGTTAGTGGTGGTGCTGGTTGTTGTTGAACTGTTGTTTGACGAAGAGCCAGCGAGGGAGGTGGTTGTGGACGGAGGTGAGGATGCGTTCATATTGCTCTGCAATCGTATCTCATTATTGTGTGTACTAGATATGAAAACGTATTCATCTTTAAAGCACGCACCTCTGACGCACTGTTGCTCGCATGGTTCAACTCGCGATCCTTCTTGTACTTCTCGTAATCGTCACCCAGTATCGTTGCTATTTCATTCTGCATAAATGCCCATGGCGTTTGCGAACCCACCAATGGGCATTTATCTCCAGATGGACAGTATACTTCCTGAATTATTGTGCATCTAAATGCATACCATAGTAAGTGGACAAATGAATTCTTTCGCAATATAATACCTGAGCATTCGATTGTTTTTTAATACTCTCTCTTGAGCATGGGAAACAAAATTTATGTGCTGATACGGACGGACACTGCACGAAATGTGTATCTTCGAGCCTTTCGTGACACAACGTACATTTCAACACCCTTTCTCCACTAAAACGATAACTATCATCATTATCACTGCACTGAATGCGTTCAACAACACCAATAATAATAGCAATTACCTATGTAAATTACTGTTATAAGCTCTTCGGTTGTTAATGTTATTTGATGGATTATCGGGGCTGTGTGTGGACGTTGGTGATACAGACGTGGTTTGAGCATCACCTGAGAATTGACAATAATTAAAGGCTAAAAAGGTGGAGTGCATGAATCGGGATCAACTTAATAAAGGTCAATTGTAAGTGTTCCATAAATCAAACTGCATTCAATTGACTTCTTCACCCCTAAAGATATAAAAATAACTCGCTGCATGTGAACAATTATCAAAACGAATCTAAAATATTAACAAAGTAATCATAAAATGAGTACACATAGACACAATCAAGCGTTGTACCATCCACCAAAATGGTACAAAAACCGGTTGTTTTCATTTGATTTTCTCGTTTCGTTCTTCCTTTATATTCATCATTATTTATTTATATTCTATCGGTGATGTACTAGAACAGAACCAGTTGAGGTCAACAACCTCATCAACCTTTATATACCTTCATCTTCTCTTTCTTACCTCTCGCATTGCATAATATTATATAACCTTAAACAAACTAGTTTTCATCGAAGACATTCTCAGAGAAGGTGCTGCGTTACGGAGACGTATCAAAGAAATACAGACAAAGATGTGAACATGGAGCTGTGTGCTGTCAAACCGGTAAATCAACTGTGATCATCAAATCAAAATAATAGAACAATGAGCTATAATAAGGATCATAACAACACGAATGAAATGATTAAAAACTTACCGCGTTGGACTTTATTATAGATGTTATCAGCTTTGATATCCTCCAAGTCATGTTCCCTTTTCCTTGATAAGCCGATCCCAGCTGATACATTTGCTGGTAACAAATTCGCCACACTGCTCGCCACTAGATTTGGGAATACTCCTTGAAGAATGACTGTCTTGTTATTTGCATAATAACGTTATTAATAACAACAATTAATAGTGATACCAATGGGCAAGCCATGCTGAATGAGTGGATTGTGTAAGTGGATGGGTCGTTGTAAATGTTGTAACTGGTGATTGAGTTCGTTGTTGTTATTATTATTATTAGTGTTGTTGTTATTAGAGTCATTCGAAGTGTTATTGCCTTGTGACTGACGTGCGACTGCAGCCACTGCACTCAAGTTCATGAATCGCTGTTGTTGCTGTACAAGCGCCTATAATTTGATCTTAGTAATTAAGCTGAACAGCAAATAGCAAAAAGCACCAACCTCGGTGAGTTGATTAAGCTGCGGTAGTTGAGGTAGTGGTAATGTGGTTGCATTTGCAAGGTTGGAGTGTTGCTGCAGAGAGTTTTGTATGATGGCGTTGTTAGTGGTGCTGCGATTCAGGGTTGATATGGGCGAGTATCGACCGGCATTCGTTTGCAATAATGCTTCCTTCTGAATTATTATCATTATTAACATCATTCATCAACGTGGCTCTCTTAAATCAACCACCTGCGTTAGAGATGTATTTCGAAGAGCCACATTATTGATCACCTCACCAACCGCAAATCCATGAATACGTTTCATCTGACGAGCACTTTCAATGACATTCTCGATTCTACAATTCACCATCATCAGTAGTTCAAGATTTGATTGAATAAACGAGCCAGGACCTTACCTGTCAGCACCCTCATAATTGACACATCCACGACACACAGGTTCAATGAAATCGTTACACATTGCCCACGGCCACCTCGGTAAATCACACAAAAAACAGTGTTGTCTCGATAACAACTTGCAGTTATTATTCAACTGATAATTGATCGTATTCATCATATTGTTTGTGCTGCTTGTTGTCATTATTGCATTTGCATTATTCGAGTTATTGCTATTATTATTAGTATTATTAGTGTTATTATTGGCACTATTCATTGTTGCTAACATGCCGTTCGTTATGTGCAAACGGTGTCCTGAATTGATCTTCATTATCCTCTTAAAATACTGTTCATAGTTACTATTGCGCACATCAACTTCGATCACAATCCGTTTTATGAATCTTAAAACAACTGGCATAAGTAACCCTTTAAAAGTATCCGTTAAGTGAATAAATACAACGGCAATGCAATATTACAATGTCTCAGGTTGCCACATAAGATAAGATAATGATAAAAACGATTAAGGAATATATTTATATCAAGATGAATCAATCTCGCAATAGACAGTCGAATATGAGATACCTGGACAACTAACACAATATAATAATACAAATACAAATCAATAGGCGTGTCAGGTCACTCATTGATTCGACTTCACAGACCTATATACATATACATATATTTATTATAACAAATATTAATGAGGAAATATATTTAAAAAATGAATAATCAAAATTTGAATAAAAGTTGATAAAATGAAATGTTATTAACCACCTATTGCAAACACAATTCAAATAATAATCATAATAATACAAATAGATACTGTGCTAGCCAGTGCTACCCCACTTCGACCACTGAGAATATATTTCAAGGTTATTTATCTTATTCATTTATATCCATTATTATTGTAATTATACACATATACATCTATTTTTACTTATTTATTTGTCCACAATAACTCTATTAACTAGGAATTAAAACATGAAAATGGAGAAAAAGATACGAAACTGATGCATTATTGAAATTGGAATGATCCTTATCAGTCGAACTTTATACCATAAAATGTTCACTTCTTATCTTATCACTATTGAATATCACCCCATCGCTGTCTTATCACTAAAAATTATCACTCACGTATGTCAATGATAACAATTTATGTACGATTGATAATAGTTGATATATAAACAAGATAACTCTACATCTATATCTGCATAAACTTTTAATTTCATTCTATCACCTAAATGGTTCTATACTAATATTATTCTAACACTCAAATGTAATTACTCGAACGATATAACAGATGATCATGATATAAACTGAAGTAATACCAACAAAATTCAACAAGCAGAGCGCTTTATCTAAAAATTCACTAAGCGATAAGAACGGAGCATGTTGATATGATATGGTGTGATAATAATAATGCACACTTGTATCACAACAATGTGCTGCTTGCATAATATTTTGTTAAGAAGTAGACAGCGACATTGTATTCGATATGAGTGAACGATATAAAATAAAATGCATATTCAATATTGATAATCAATAAATTAATATTCATTACTTCATTATGATAATCATATTCATTCAATCTTCCATTTCAACAACTAATTTATTATTCGTTATATGTATATTCGAGTTGAATGTATTAAAACCGGTTTTACAAATCATTTCAAAATAACTAATCGATAATACCGTTCATATTTTGAATACAATCTATAAATTAAGCCATAAAAAGCACTCAATTAATTGGACATGCAAACACAAAAGAATAACCAATCGGCTATCGTAAGCAAATAAAGTAATCGTATCAAAAATAATGATAATGATAATATTTCTGATATTAATATCAACAGAGATTTCAAACCAGAATTGCAATAGCAACAGCGATACAATACAATAATATAATAAATGATTTAAAGAGTGAAAACTTGTATTAACCACTATTCTACATCATCACTTTCATTAAACAACTTTTCGTAAAACCTGTTTTTATTTATTATTATTATTATTATATTTGCTTTCGTGAATATAGTTTCATTAATAAGTTAACAATATTCTCATTATAAATATCATCAAACACAAATAAAAATTGCACGATTAAAATCATAATGCGACGCATCTGAATATTTCTTTCAGAAAGCTAGCTAGGCCAAAGCACAGAGCAACTGCAATCGATGAACTCTTCCTTTGGCGACAGTCAATCTGAACGTGCTGGCTAAAGGTACAATACTCGTTACAAAGTAAATTTATCTGTTCTCGTTTAACCTCACTCTATTTACAAATTGTTATTACTCAAGTCTCTACTTCCTATGCTGCATGCACACATCTCTCGTTACAACTGATTACTGTATTCATCAACAATACTCTTTGCTAAACATAGGCGGTATTAATTGGTCTGCTCTATCTGCACCCATTTAATAACTCTGTTGATCAGATCCAATAATATTCCGGATATTATCCAATGCAATACACCTCAAATGATTTATCTGATTATGACATAAATGCAGTGTTAATGGTGGTTATCCAAAGCGTTCAGCCATCTTCAAAGTAATCGTGTTTTTTCAACTGGCAAACGACCTTTCCAAGATGTTCTTTTATATTGTGCTTCTAATATGCTATGTTCTAATATGCTTTTATCACTGACTAATTCACATCCATTTCATCTGCAAAAACTAATCCAAAATTCTTTATTAAAAATGACCAATCAATAAGAGTATCAATAGAACTTTTCAGTAAGCAATCATTTGAAAAGCACTCAAAAATATGTCTGCTTTCAAAAGTTGACATGCGGAAACATCCCTCACGTGAAATCTATCTGCGACTAATGATCAATAGCTCTCGCAATGATGTGAACGTTTGAGCAATTATTGTCATCATTCGAACAAAATTGTTTTAGACACAGTTATGCCCATTCCAATAAATTATACAGCTTATGTATCTGGAATAGATGTGGTCTGTACTGATTTCCAAGAAGCGTTCCATTCACATTCTACCCCAAAATTTTCATCGAATCGCGTCATTATGTTTGCTCAATTGGATTGCTTTCTTAAAACATGATCGTGTGATCAATAACACTGCGAGATTAGTTGAAGCAATACTGTTGCTCAAGGCAGGCACTCCAGGTGTGCCTTATCTTATATTGCTTTGCCATACCCAATTTGAATAAGCTCTTATTATGTGTTGGACTGTGATGGCAAAATCTTTTCAGTCTGCATGGCCCAATAAAGAATTGAAACGTCCGGAATGTCCAATGTAAAACAGCTCCACATTGCAACAACCCTCATTCGGCAGTTATCAATTCATGTACATAATTCACCATCTTCCAGTTGATATATTCCATGACGTAATTGCACTCAAAGAGCTATTAAAGACGCAAACCTAGAGCCAGTATGCCATTAAGATCGACTCGTAACTTCATCCCAGCTTTATCCCGGAACATGTATACATCATCCCGTATTATAATACAATACTCCAGTTTGGTCTTCTCTCAAAATAGAAATTCGTTTGATTCAGTTGCAAATGTTCCTGAAAGTTGATAAAAAGTTCAAAGTTTCACCTCTGAAACTAGATAAATTTATCACAAGTTTCATATTTTTAATAATTCATGTTTTAGTTTTTTATTTTTCTGCATATTATTAAATGTTAACAATACTCTTTCACTTGGTTGCAGTTGCATAACATTTCGCATCATTTGAATTACTATAGCAGCCACTGTAGTGTTGACTATTGCTGTTTGTCTTAACTTTTCGAATCTTCTGAGTAGATGAAGTTACACCGAATCAATATGGCTCATTTGTTTCGAACTTTATCATTACATCAATAAACAAGTATCATTTGCGATTATCTTTCAATTATGCGGTAATTCAATAATATAATCCCATGCAGACCAAAAGCAATAATAATAAATAAGAGAGTGGCTCAAAAGAGAAATAATTAAAGTCTCACGTTAATTGAATGAACAATAAACTCACTTATGAATAATTCTTTTATATCTATTCTAAGCCATATATAATGCTTTCCAGTTCTGTCTTAAAAGTAGATTGCCGTCGTCAGAAGTCAGAAGTTGTTCCATAAATTGTTAGCAATGGTACTAACTGAGAGGAAGTTGGCAATTAGTGGAATGCATTTGAATTACATTCCATTTCTGTTATCCTTATCTATTATATCGTTTTTAGAGAGGACTATTTTGATGAGAATATATTCTGAGAATATAGGACTATTTTGATGAGAAAATTTATAATCGAATCCTCGCTTTTATTCAAACTACGGTAGTGTTATCACCACTTTTATTATCAGCACAGTTATTTATACATTACTATTTTATTGGGGCAATATTTTTGAAATTTCAATATTTTATCATTTCATATATATGTATAATTTTTATGTAGAGAATGGGTATGGTAAAAAAGGAAAATAATCAACTAAATTGCAATATAATCTAAATGAGTGTTGTATCTGAACTAAACCGAACTAATCTAATTCTTATTTAATCTTAATAGATAATTTATTTAAAATATTTATTATATATAATGTATACTACATAATATTATATATAT